CATAGCCTACGAGAGTCGTAAGCTCAACGACAATAAGTGGCCTTAGATGGATGGTCCACGCAGTCTAAGTTATGTGACGATGCTTGCGTTCAGCAACCTGGTAGTGACGATGCTTGCGTTCAGCAATCTTACGAGTAAAGGTGCTTTCAAGCCTATTTTTAAGGGCCCCTATGCTACGCCCTGTATTTTTCTTCACTCCGTAGTTTGCCCTGTTTGCTTGACCGCTCCTGGCTTTTTGGCTGACTTTTTGTTGACTTGTCTCTGATTGATAACGAATTCTTACAATACGGTATTTTTCGAAAGCAGCAGTAGTAGAATTGTCACTTTTCTTAACAAAGATAATTGACCGAAAGACAGGACAGGTAGTACACTCAAACCTCTTACACTAATTGCTTTAAGGAATCCCCACTCAGTTGCTATTGATTGAGTGAATATATACATGACACAAAGTTATAACGCAGGTTTCTGCATATTTTATTTTGCTCTCTAGATATTTCCGTAAAGTGAAATTAGTTCTCTCAGCGCCTATTGGATATACAATGCAAATGGACATTCACTTCAATATTTTCTTGTGTGAGTGTAAATTTGTAGTTTGGTCATAAGAAAGAACATTGCAGCAATATCTCAGAAACTTAAAGAGGATGATTCTAGATCAAGTCTAAATTTTAAATGTGTGTTCAAGACCTCTAATGCAGTGGTGGGGTAATGTAATTACGTGAACTGAGCTGATGACTCTTTAAGTAATACCCATTCATCAGTGCATCTGTGCAGGTTCATTATTGGTACATTTGCCCTTGTCTTTTAGTTAATTATACCATGATGAACTTAGGCTCCATCATCCAATTTTACTCCCTATAAACCTTTTGTCATAAACATGTGTTTTATTTATTAAAAAATTTACTAAAAGAATCTAACATACTCCATACCCACATCTTAGTGATGACACTATGGCAATTAAACATGCAAATTTGCTTCTAGTGATGGTTATGCGATATTAGCAATTCTTTCAACCATTGAAACTCAAACAATGAAGCTTAAGTTTGAGTCTCCTACTCTCTACAAACACCTACCGGTATCTTTAATGGAAATAAATTACCAAAACAAAAACCAGCTGCAACAACGCTGATACCTCAACCCCTCAACTGCGTCAACAATTTTTGCATTACCCCCAACAATATAAAACTAAACTACCATCAATTTATCACAAAAATCCTCATTCCCAAAGGCTCAAACAAGCATCAAACGGATGTTGTTCAACATCAAGTCCACCGACAAACTACATCAGACACCAAAACCAGAAAATACCCAGAAATTTTTTCGATTAAAACTCCCCATATCCATCTATGTTTCTCATAAAAATACTTCTAAAATCAAAAAATTAATAAATACTTGAGGAAGAGAGAGAGAGAGAGAGGAGCGCATACCCTCGTGGTTAACAGTAGACTTGGTCGACAAGAGAGAGGGTCGAGACACTGGGCGAATAAGAAGAGATCTCGTCTTTGGGTTTTATTTTAAATCCAGGGTTTCTTCCTTCTGCGGGGCCCACTTTGCATGAGGGTTCAAAGTGGGTGAATTTAGTTTGTGTGGAATTAGGTTTCTATCCTTGAATTCGGGATAATTGGTCGACCGTGACGAGTCGGTAAACGGTGGCCATCTATTGATTGTGGATTCGGTTATGTTACGTAGATCTGGATCCGCATCGGACCCGACCCGTTGAAACCCGAAAGGGTCCAATTAGACCCGGAAATTTTTGTTGCCTTCCAACGTTCAAAGCCAAGGCGACAGCAGACCAAGAACCAAATAGCTATCTTTCATATCCGAACCGGAATCACTTTTGGATTTGGGTGGCAGGATTTTCAATGAATTTTCGACATTAGTAAATGTAGCGGAAGAACATAACCCGTGATCTACAAATGGAAAGTATGATAAACGGAAAAAACAATTACAGGAACATGAAATGCTTAATGAATGTTGGGCAGTCAAAATGATTGTTCTCAGAGTACAACCAGATTAAGATTCTACGAATAAACAACAAATATTTTGAATCGTTCTCTTACATTTTAATCTCCTTCCTAACATCCTTATAACGTATGAGTTTTGGCTACAATAAAGTAACATGATGTTGCATACATATATTTATAACATAGAGGTTTTCGTCTACAGCGCATAAAATATAAAAGTATGCTTATATATCATATACGAATATTAAGTTAATTTTTGCTTCAGGGTCGTTGCTCCGTACAATCCTGCCAACATATGGGAGGTTCCCCTTGACATGCCCAACCTCCTGGAGCTCCTACTAATCGAGATGTAATTTTAGTCCACAATGTTTACACATTTTTCATGTAAAATAGTCTTCCACAAACCATAAGGTTGCATTTATATAGAATATTTTTATCCAAAAATGCATGATATTTTATTATGGTAAAGTACAATAAGAAATGGAGGAAACATCATAGTTTCCGAACGTTTACTTTTTGGATTTGGATTCACCTTTGCGGTCTGTTTTCATACATCCGATCCTGAAACGCGGGATCCAGTCACTATTGGGCCTATGGGATAATGGAGCTCCCTCAACCCCATTTGCATAGTCGTTATTTGATATTTAAGAGCTTTTATATTTATTCTATGATTTTAAAAAAATAATAATAAAGTGGTCTTGAAAGCTAGAGAAACTTTCAGAAGACGGTGACCGGAACTTTATCCCAATAACTTGTGGATTCCTTATCCATTACTTATGGAAGAGCCACACTAATCATTGATGTTGACGATCAACAAGTGTTATTATTCTAGTTACATACTTTGGAATTAGTTAGACGACGTGCAAGAGATTAGATTCTTGTTAGATGAATGATCTTCTTTTTAAACGAAAGAATAAAGAATCAAAGTTGCGTCTTGCTGATTTTTCGTCATAAAAACATGTGATGGTTTGACAACAATTAAAGTCAACGGCCCAAGTATTTGGAAGCTTGACTTTTGACATTTATAAACCCATTGCATATTGGGCCGGCCCAGCCCATTACAGAGCGTACGAGCATTCTGCTGCGTTTCATATAGGAGCGATTTTGATTAGGAAAAAAGTTAAATTTCTCATACAGTTTCTATTTCTTTAAAAAAATAAAAAATGGAACAGAAATCTTGGTATAACTAGCAAAAAAAAGTAAAATTTCTCAAATTTTATTGACATAATATTATTTTATTTAAATAGTCATATATCTAGAAAAAATTGCGTATAAATATAAATATATAAATGACTAGAGAAGGCGACTTTCGCCATTATCCAATAAATTGTGAATTCCAAGCAACTAATTTTACCAATTTATTATTCCTAGGAGCTTCTCGAGATTGAGAATTCTCTTTTTAAAGTTCTTATTGTAACAAGTGAAGCAATATATCATAAAACATTGGGTTAATTAAAGAAAACTTTTATGAACTTTTGGGAAGTTGAAGTAAAACTCCATCAACTTTTTATATTACACTAAACATGTCTGAACCTTAGAAGTTGCTACACATAATATTTTTTATAAATTATTTTGTTTCACTAAATTTCACATAAAAATTTGTCATTTAATTTCCAAATTAGCACCCTCTATTCTAACGTCTCATGCGACAAACATATACCAAAAAAGATAAAAAATAATTTCTTAATTTCAAAATTATCTATTTGTTCTTTTTTAATAAAAGGCTTTTTGGGGGAAACTAAGAAAAAAAATTATCCTTTTTTTCCCAGTGACATATTAGAGATGGTAATGCTAATATGAAGATTAAAATATAATCTTCTAGGTAAGACTTCGTGAAATATAAAATTTCATGGGATTAGGTGCAATATTCCTAAAGTTCAAGGAGGTGTAGTCTAATGAAAAATGTTGATCCCAAAAATTCATGGGAGTTCTCTGTAATTAACCCTAAAGAAAAGAGTGTTCATGAAATTCGCTCCATATGACAATAGAAACAATAGAAATTGAGTACTTGCATTCACCAGAAAAATTACATTAGGTACGCTTTAACTTTAGAATAAACTCTGACGATCAATTGAAAATTTTCATACGTAAACTAATATCTTCTCATCTTCTACTTGCTTTTTAGATCTCTAGCAACCGACGCATTATGGAGATCATACAGTGGTATGTAAAATCTCATAAAAGAAAACCTTGTGAACTAAGGAGGTTTGACATAATTCAAATAACAACAAATGAAGGTGAATCAGTCCCTTGTTTTTGCTTCAAATAAATAAATAAATAAAAATGAAAATGAAAACATATGAAGGTGATGATGGAGGCAATTTGATATGCTTAAACCTTAGCTTTTAAGATATTATTCTATTTCATGATAATGGTTCCATATACACATAGGCCAAGCACTATCCAGCAATAAGTTGTACATGATTGCTTATGGACAGAAAACTCTGTCTTTGATTAATTTAAAAAAAGTATGGATCTCTTTCCTATTATTCAGTGTCCATTTAAGATTAAGTTCCATTATTTAATTTGATGCTTAAAAGACATTCCTAGTAAATATAACAATGCCCATAATAGGTAAATGAGTTCCAAGTTTTTTAACGGAATGTGGGTGCTACACAGTACCGATATGATTAACTAAGAAAATCATAGAAAAAATGTGCCAAATTTTCCCACTTTTATATCACAAATTTGGAATTAATCATACACTACAACAAAAGTTGTATATTTTCATACTTATTTTATGTCCCATATGAAAGTATTATTTTATTTGTCAAAAGTTAAACAATAGTGACACAAACAAACATGTAGCAAATCAAGACATATATTTGTGTAATATATAATTAAATACAATTGAAAAAGGCTAATAGTTCAACATATGAGTTATAAGAGGAACTGTTAATATGCTTAAATAATAAATCTTAGATTTTAATTATGATGATGGTTAAACATTTATGATAGTGCATAAGCTCAAAAGAACTCCATAGTTAAGTGTGTTGAAGCATGGTCAAGCCAATGATTACTCATGAGCTTATCCATAATTACATATGCATTATCCACTGAATTTGCATACATGTGTTTATCACACTATTGACTTGATTTAATGTCACATTAATACCAAATAAGAAATTCCCAAAAGTTAATGCAAAATACGTTTATTGTATAACAATCTTGTATTGAGCTAGGAGACTTCTAATTTACATACCGGCCCGAGAATTAACAATTTAAAAGGAATAAGAAAGAGTATATATTTAAACTCTATACCCATTTAATTAATGCCACATAAGAAGATTTTCCAACAAATAATTTATACTAGGCAATCCTAAACATCAATGACGACAAATGATTTTGTATTTGTAACCCTCTAATAAATGGAATTCTCCATAGAAGTAGGCCTGTCCATCCGGGCCGGCCCGACTCGGCCCGTAAAACCGGGCCCGGGCCAGGCAAAACCGGAGCCTGAACCGGGCCCGGTTGCGTTCGCTTCTCGTACCTCCACCAATCTTGTAAGCACATCATCTCTTGTATAGTATACGGATCTAAGCATGTCCTGTGATCGCCGATCAAACGTCCTGCTGTGCTGAAAACGGATTCTGAAGCTACCGTCGAAACCAGCACTGTTAGTAAGTCACGAACCATGGTGGAAAGTATAAGATATAAAACTGATCCGTATACTCTCCACCATTGCAAAATATCTAAAGCATTTCCTTGACATTTAACTAAAGAAGCAGATAAATATTCATCTATTTCAGAAACCTCTAATGATGACCCAAGTCCAGATCCACCAGTTATCTCAGCTACCATTGCATACCTATCAAAACTTACACTTTTACCTCGGCATAAGCTCGAAGGTGCCGAAGCTGTAGACTGTTGTGCAGCTACACCATGTCTAGCTGCATACTCATCATATAGCTAAATGATGAGAAGTAGCAATAAGAGTGGATCCATCATCTAAGTCTATAATCTGTCTACCATACAATGATTGTAACAAACTTCGAAGGCCAATATTCTAAGTCTATAATCTGTCTACCATACAATGATTGTAACAAACTTCGAAGGCCAATATCCTTCAAACATGGATCAATAAGAACCCCCAAAAACTTCGAAGGCCAATATCCTTCAAACATGGATCAATAAGAACCCCCAAACTAAAAATATGAGGAATAGACCTAAAATACTTATTAAATTTGCTCTCCATTTAAAAAATTATAGATCCAAAAGTATCATTCATACGATATTTGTTAAATTGTTTTGAATATTTAAAATTTGTAAAGCAGCTAAAGTAATAGTTAGATAATAACAACTAGATAATAACATTGTAGCATCATAAAAAATTATAACATCTCATTTAAATTACATATAATTGTCCATTCATTTTCAGTTATTCCATAAGTGCCACCAGAGCTAGAACTAGAAGCATAATAATTTATAAAATTATTTATAATTTCTTTATATTCTATTGCCACACTTAACATTGCATATGTGGAATTCCACCTATGGTCAACATCTTTTGGAATTAGTCTGGGCTTATAATTTTTTCCTTTTG